TAAATTAAAGCTCAAAGCTTTCTCTTTAAAATGATGTATAATAATTGTTGGGTTGGATTGGAAAAATATTAAGAAAAAAAATGTTGAAACAAAACTTACATTTTTGTATAACCTAAAAGTGTCAAAAAAGATGCTAATTTAAAAATTCCTGGAAGCCGTATTTATTGAAATTAAGGAATGAAACTTATTTCAAATTAAAGCTCAAAGCTTTCTCTTTAAAATGATGTATAATAATTGATGGGTTGGGTTGGAAAAATATTAAGAAAAAAAATGTTGAAATAAAACTTATATTTTCGTATAACCTAAGAGTGTCAAATTTAAAAATGCGCCGAATAGATGACTACATTTTAAAATGAGTGTTTCAAAGTACCGGTACTTTAGAGTATCGTCGGGACACAAAGGGTTAATGTTTGTATGTTTAAAACATTTATTAATACTCTTTCTCTTTTGGTCTAAACCCATAAATGCTTAAGATATGGACCTTCAAATTTAAATTTTTTTTAAACATTTTCAATATGGTTTGTCTAAGAAAGATAAAATTTGGCAAACAATGTAATATTATCATGAGAAATCGTTTCAGATTACTTTTGAAAGTATCCAACCACAGGATCAATGCTATACAGGTGTCCCCAAAGATTATTTCCTTAAAACTTTCTTATTATGTCATAAACCGTTAAAATTTCCAACTGATTCTAAAAGCCTATTTTATTTTAAAATTATTTTCACTCTTAGAAATTTTTGATTACACGCATCGTTTTAGAGTTAATCACAAAAAGATACAACTTCGTCCATGAATTACTGTCATTAATTGTAGACGCCCATGAAAATAAATCGTAAGTAAAGCAATATGTCAAATTAATGATCATCAATAAAAAGTATTTTTTCTAAATACGCAGCATTAATAGTACATTTTTCCATCATAGTATGGCAAAACTGTACTCCCAGCAGATGATCAGCAATTTTTAATTCTTGTACTGTTGACAAGTGGTATGGATACAATTGCTGTTCGTGTCGCACACGCCAAGCCGTACTTTTAGACGTTCCAAAATGTCCGAACTATTGATATCAACAGTATATCAACAGTTATTTGCAATATCATCACACCACTGCGTTAGCAATGCCTAAACACTCTCCCAATGTTAAAAGCATGGCAGTTTGTTCACTAAAACTGTAATTATTTATCATTTTAAACAACTATTACCGACTGACGAAAGTTGAGTAAAGATTTGACAGTAGACTGCCTAAGTCTGACGTCACAAAGGTGGGCGGAGCTTATACCGGCTCCAAACAATTTCGTTGCTAACCACAGTTGCTAAGATAAAGCCATAAAACAGTCATTTAAAATGTCATCTAAAATGTCACTTAGTTTATTTTATTTTAACACTAATTGAAAAATTGCATATGTCGGTATAAGCTCCACCCATCTCTATGACGTCAAGTCTTAGGTTGTCTATAGACACCATATGCTAACGGTAAATCACCATAATGCAATTTTTCATTAGTGTTAAAATAAAATAAACTAAGTGATGACATTTCAGCTGACATTTTTTGGCGATTTATCGTTAGCAACTGTGGTTTTATAACAGCGAAATTGTTTGGAGTCAGTATAAGCTCCGCCCATCTCTGTGACGTCAGACGTCATTTACAATTTGTTTTCATAGGCACCTACGATTAATGAAAACATTTCATAATTGAGGTTGTAGCTTTTTACGAATAACTCGAAAACGATGCTTCTAAACAAAAATTTATAAGAGTAAAAATAATTTTAAAATGACATAGACTTTTAGAATCAGTTGTAAAATTTAAGGATTTTAACGATAGCCCCGTATAGCATTGATCCTGTGGCTGTTAAAATGATTAAAAATTTCTTAATTTTGAGAGCCCATATCTTATTGTTAACCATTTATGGGCTTTTATTTATATATCATTTTAACTCTAGTATTTATGATTAAAATTATGCCACGACTTACAGGAACAGCATGTACAGTTTTTATGGTTAACTAAAAGTTTATAATTTTCTGATGACAAACCAAACTTAACTTAACTTCCTCACTTCCCTCCTTCACCAAGTATTTTGGAAGCCCTTCCGTTATTATGTCCCCATATCTTTCCTCTCTTATCTGCGTCCTTTTCTCCTGTCTCTGGACGTCGCTATCCTTGTCGCTTACCTCCCCCACATCACCAACCGTTTTTTTCTTCTGTTATTTATCTCTGCCTCCGAATAACACGTCCTTTTGTAATATTCCCTCCTCTCTCCTTTACCATATATTTTCCCTTCCCTAACTTCCTTCCAAATCTCTCCCAGCATCCCACAGTATGGTCTTCTATTTATCATTTCTTCATATTTAACTGCTCTTCTAGTCGCTTCCAACCTCATTTCCCTCGCCAGACCCACAACCCGATTCTGTACGTCCTGCTTCTTCCATCCCCAAACTTCCTCCCCGTACATCATTGCACTCCTCACCAACCCATGAAATATAATCTTTCTTTTTCTGATATCCTTTCCAAACACTCTCTCACCCCATCCCCAGACTCCTTCACATGCGCCGCTACCTTGCTATCCTCCCTGAAGCTGTACCCCATTATTTTTTTTATCTAAGTAATTAAATAAATTATTTCTTAATAGATTTTGTGTGGTATGGGAAAACTAATGAGAGAATGTTGGCATCAAAATCCACACGTAAGATTACCAGCATTAAGAATCAAAAAGACTCTACTTAAGTTGGGAAACAATAGTGACTGTGTTAATATTGAAGACATGGAGATTTGCGTCTGATCGTTGAAGTGCGTGCGCGCCTTCTGTCTGGTATAAATTTGAGTACAACATTTTTCTGGGCTGCCCTAATCCAAATACCCCTTTAGTATAGTGTGTACATAACGAGGGAATAACCAACGGTGGACGCGCGTCGACGCTCGGACGAAGATGACGATGAGGACGAAACGAGGTGCCAAATTTCTATAATTTTTCATTTTTTCAGTACATATCTCGGTTTTTACATTTTTCCCATAATATAGAGCGCGTCAAACAATTAATTATTATTTTAAAGATACGTGTACAGTGCCATTTCTAAAAAAAAAAAAAAAAACGGTCCGTTGTAAATATTAATTTGTACTAACGATTTGTACAGATTCCTTTTATTTATGTAAACGCGTTTTCTGTCTCCTCTTTTTCCTTTCATTTAATGGTGTAACACAAAGTTACGTCACAAGCTCAATTACATTTAAATTATTTACTTAGATTTATTTTTGATTTTATATTTAAGAAGTGCCTTAAAAATTAGTATGCTTACATTAAATTAATTAATCTCTTCGTTATTTAATAATGAAAATTAATATTTATCGTTCGCCGTTTAAGTTCTATTTGAAATTATTTGGAATTTTTTTTTTATTAATAAATAACTGATTTTTATATTAATTGCTTCGTCTTTTTAATTTAGTATGACGTAGTTTTGTGTTTAACTAAATTTTGGGAGATATACTCATCCTTAATGATTAATTACCAAAATTAGTTGTTGTTATACAGGCGTTTTGAAACTAAGTAGGATCTTAAAATATTGTGTTTAACAAAATAAGTCTTAACTGAAATTTAATAACTATGTTAAATCAGGATTTTCATTGTTATATTTTAAATATATCCTTTCTTTATTCATTTGCCAATTGACGAATCTCCTACTAGAATCTCAAAGTAACCTTAACATTACGCAATGTGACCTTGATCTTGAGGTTCCAAGAGGAGGTTCATAGAAGAGTAAGTAATAAACGAACTCTACTGTATTTATCATAATACAGAAATCTTGGTACTGGTCTCGAAGTATGCAAACTCTTCCGTTTAGAGGAAGAACTTTCTTGATAGCAACCTAATAACCAGAGGCACCTCCGAATCTGGTATCCTATTCCTCTTTTATTCTCCTACACTGCGCATTGGGAATATCAAATTATTTGTGCTACAACCCAACAGCGAGTATAAAGAAGAAAATATGCAACCCATAGCGAAACAGGACAAGAATGTGGTGATTACAGTACCTAAACCCCATTAGGTCGTTGGTAGATTTCCTTTTATTTAAAAATTTTCTGAAGAATAGCTCCAGAATACTCCATAGGATATATTCTATGAAACATGAGTTAAGGCTTATTTTGTTTAATCATCTTATTTATTAAGAATAGAATTTTCATCAGTATCATTTACAATTTTACCTATATCATATCGGTTGGAACTGCGGTTCTAAATTGTAAATATTAATTTCCAAAAAACATTTTCAGTTTGTAACAAAATTACAAATAAATAGTTAACAAAACGGTCAAAATTAAAAACGAATTTATTGGATTGTAAAATGTTATTTTTGCATTATTAAGAGGCAGAACGGTTGTCCATGATTTCGTTTTGTGATTTGATCGGTTTGTATTCTGTATTATTAATCATTTAAGTGTCGTGACAGGATCAACACCAGATATAATAATAAACTAGCGTAATAATAATTATTATTATTATCGAACATATTTGTAGACTAAAAAGGCGACATGAATGTTTACATAAAAATACAACAAACATACTGAATACAATCATATGAAAATAGTATTAACAAACTAAGTACTTTATTATTTAACGGGGAAAAGACTTTCGTATCTTTGAAAAAGAACGAACGGTAATTGGATGTTAGAACATCCGCTCACTATATTATAGAAATATTTGCGTTTCAGTTAAAAAAGAATCTTCTAAGCTGTCTCAAATTTTCAAATAACCAATTCATATCAGACTTAGTTTATCATACGGATATCACATGTGAACTTGGACAGATCAAAAAAATTAAAAAGAAACGTTCCCGCTCCTGTAATAATTGTAATTTTTTAAGTAATCTATTTTAAACTTACTTTAGACAAAACTGATTCATATCAAGTTTGTTTATCAACAAAAAAAAGTAAATAAATAAATAAATTTAATGTGTGTGCATATTAACGAACTTACTACATGATGGCTCATTAAACTTGTTTTTTCTTGATGTATGTAAACTCGTGTAAAGGAAATCCATTCATTTGTTAGGCTGTGTTTAGCAAAAAAAAACCTTTTGCTACACATTGCTGTTATTATTATGTATAACAGATATGAAACTTTACGTTTATCTATCTAAACGATTTGTTACTTTCATATTTTGCATTTTTTACACTTGTTACTTGTCGTACATTAATGTTTGTATATACATCACATGTTCCATTTAAATTTGTGTATTGCGGATTTGTGTACAAACATAAGTATGAATGTTATTTATCCCCCTTTTTGCATATATTGTAGGTGTTTTCAAATTAAATATTAGGTAACCAAATTCTGTACCGTTTTTAACTTGTCTTGACTTGCACTTGTTGGTACATGGTACGTTGAGCATTTTTTTTTTTAATTATAAGCAAAACATTTTATTGTACTGAGTTTTGTGTATTTATTTTTTAGTTTTTAATTTTTCAATTTAAGCAATAAGTACTGTTAGGTTATACATCTTTTATTTAATTTTTATCAATAAAATATTTCAAGAAGAAAAACATGTTTGATTTTGCATGTTCATGTTTTTTTGCTGTGTTATTCTTGGTTAGCTCATTTAAATGTAAGATCTTTATTGCCTAAAGTAAATAATATTGACTTTTCGATGCGTAATTATAATTTCGACATATTTTGTATATCTGAGACGTGGTTGATTCTTGATTATGCGCTTAACATTAATGGCTATACCTTCTTTAATAAACCAAAGATGTCCTGGTTGACTGACAATATCGTCTTACTACAAAGATTGAGAGATGAGGCTAAAACAAGGTATAAAAAATGCAGAACTGCTGGGTCTTGGGATTATTACAAACAATTACGAAATTTTACAACTAATGCTATCCGACAGGAAAAGATAGCATACTTTAATAATTTACATACACGCACGGATAAAAATGATGTGGAACACTATTCGTGGATGTCATATAGGGAGTAAAAAGGCGAAAGATGGTATTCCTGACGTCAATATTAATAACACAAAGGATACGATATTATTTTACTCAAATAACAGCTATAGCAATATGAATACATCTTTTGATCTTCACACGGTAGATGAAGATACTGTATTTGGCATTACCAGGTCAATCACCAGTAAAAATGTTGGCTCATCACATATCTCATAAACAGCTGCATAGTTTAGTCACATTTTCCCTCGCAGTGGAAATCTGCTGTGGTCATCACAATACCAAAAATCGAAAAACCTACTAACTTTAAACACCTCCGACCGATTTCTATTCTTCCTACCTTGAGCAAAGTACTGGAAAAAGTTATTTCCTACCAATTTAAAAACTTTATTATTTCAAATAGTATATTACCAGNTAAGCAATGGCATTGCTGAGGAGTACAAACCACCATTTTTTGATGTTGTACCAAATGACCCCAGTTTTGAAGACATGCGAAAGGTCGTTTGTGTGGATCAACAAAGACCAAATTTACCCAATAGGTGGTTTAGTGATCCAGTAAGTTATTTTTCTAATCATGTAGGTTGATTAACACGTTCATTGCCAGACTCGCGATATCGTATAGAAAAAAAAAAAAAAAAAAAATGACTTGGTCACCACACAAAACTTCAATTTTCAGCTTGGCAATGAACGCGTTAAATAAAATGCTATTGTGGTTTAACCCTTTGTGTCCCAAGAAATCAAAAATTTTTAAACTTTGTGACAGAATCAGACAGAATTAAAACGCTATCAAAATACACTCAGTAAAGGCGTTTGGAATCAATTTTAACAAAATATGCAATCCCCCTATTTTTGCATATCTAATTAGTGTCAAAAAAGATGCTAATTCAAAAATTCCTGGAATCTGTGTTTATTGAAATTAAGAAATGAAATTTATTTTAAATTCCTTTCTGTTTAAATCGATGTATAATAATTATTAATATTTTTAAAAAAATGTTGAAATAAAGTTGACATTTTCGTATAACCTAAAAGTGTCAAAAGAGATGCTAATTTAAAAATTCCTGGAAGCTGTGTTTATTGAAATTAAGGAATGAAACTTATTTTAAATTAAAGTTCAAAGCTTTCTCTTTAAAATGATGTATAATAATTGATGGGTTAGATTGGAAAAATATTAAGAAAAAAAATTTTGAAATAAAACTTCCATTTTCGTATAACCTAAAAATATCAAAAATTAGATGCTAATTTAAAAATTCCTGGAAACTGTATTTATTGAAATTAAGGAATGAAACTTATTTTAAATTGAAGCTCAAAGCTTTCTTTTTACAACGATGTATAATAATTGATGGGTTGGATTGGAAAAATATAGAGAAAAAAAATGTTGCAACAAAACTTACATTTTCGTATAACCTAAAAGTATCAAAAAAGATACTAATTTAAAAATTCCTGGAAGCCGTATTTATTGAAATTAAGGAATGAAACTTATTTTAAATTAAAGCTCAAAGCTTTCTCTTTAAAATGATGTATAATAATTGTT